CGTGAACTCCATCAGCGGCCAATTCATTGTGAACGTTTAACTGTGTGGTGTATGGTGTCTAAAGTCGGCATAACTGGCCCTTACTTCTTTGAGGAAAACGAACGCGCAGTAACGGTGACTGCAGCTCGCTACACGCAATTGACTTTTTTGCCTAAAACTGGCTGAAATGAACGGCAGGGGAGCGCAGCCGTGCACCACCAATTTTATGAACTAATAAGCCCTGAATCAAACGCCTTGGCTCTCTCCGGACATCCACCAATCAGCCGTGAACCACTCGGCTTTGTCCTCCGGCCTTGCATAAAACCTGCCGTGCATCACCAGGCCGCGGATCGAATATGACTTCCGGCCATCGTTAAATTATGTAATTTTACGTTCACCGCATCTGAGGTTAGGTTTCAGATAGCATAGTTCTGTTTCAAATTTGATCGTCCTTCGACGAATGGTCGTTCGACCGAGGGCTGGTTCGACGCACGGCCTAGATATGATTGTCCAGAAGTGTTGAAGGCTACGTTCCGGAAGGCATGATTCATGATGGTCCATTACATCCAGGGCAGTGGTGGTCTTCGGCAGGCGACCCAATGTCAGGTAAGCTCGATTACAACGGGATGGAGCCACGGCCCACACCGTGCGCTTCATCCGTATAGGTGATCAATGGATCTTCTGGGACAACATATTGCAAAGCGCCTCTCACCTTGAGAGGTGACTTTCTTTGGCGGGCTGTATTCCCCGGTTTGGCTCCGTGTGATTTGTAATAGGGTATCTTAAATCGATTGTTTACAATGACTGCCCAACGACCCTACCTCATTTGAAGAACAACATATGCCAAGCCATCGCCAACATACCCGTCAATATGCGTCAGCGAGTTGAACATCGACTATCTGAATGCATTGACAATGGGGGCCGTCATTTATCCGATGTCATCTTTCAAACTGAGTGATTATTATTTTACAGAAGACCTACCGTTTAGTCGTACACCGGTAAACTACCGTTCAGTCGTGCACCGGTATTCGTACGCTTGTTGGAATTTGTATGAAAAGTACAGCGCAAATATCGCAATCCTCTTGTGGGCAATCATCCAATCAAAAATGCAAAGGCTTAATTTAAACAGCTAAAAGTTAAACCTTTGTGAGCGCTGCCAAACCCTGTAAAAGATGATCCCTGGATAAGGGTCACCGTTGTCTTTTATCATAGACGAGATGAAAGAATTACACAAGCGGAGCGAAGACGGAAGAACTACACCGTTCACTGATGCCTCTGCGAACTTATGCATCATGAGCGCGTGAAGAACTACACCGTTCACTGAGGCCACTGCGAACATGAACAGAATGTATCATGGGTGCGTGAAGAACTACAGTTCACTGAGGCCACTACAAACATGATGCATCATGGGCGCGTGAAGAACTACACAGTTCATTGCGGCCACTGCGAACATGAACATGATGCATCTTGGGTGCGTGAATAACTACAGTTCACTGAGGCCACTGCGTACATGAACAAGATACATCGTAGGCGCGTGAAGAACTACAGTTCACTGAGGCCACTGCGTGCATGAACAAGATGCATCGTAGGCGCGTGAAGAACTACAGTTCACTGAGGCCACTGCATACATGAACATGATGCATCGTAGGCGCGTGAAGAACTACAGTTCACTGAGGCCACTGCGTACATGAACATGATGCATCGTGGGCGCGGGCTACAGCGCACGTAAGCAAAGGCGAAGGCTATACTGGCAGGGCTCGCCACACTCAAGGTCACGTACGCACGTTGCTGACTCGTCCCTACCGACGGAATTTGAATTCACCGCCCGCCACTGCAAGTCGTGTTAGTCATTACATGGTGGAATTCAAGTTCAGCATTTGAAACAGAGTAGAAAGTAAGAGTTCTAGTTTAATTTTGATGAGGTTATTTTTACTAGGTTTAGGCCGCAATGCTCATTTGGTTGTCACTAGTCATAGAAAATCATCAATTTCATTATAAATATAGAATATTCATAATTGTGATAATGTAGCTACCGCCAGGCATTAATTAACGCCATTACCCATACAATTTGGATACAACCAAGGGAACTGAGCTAGCAGCGATTACGCAAACAAGTCGTCCTGCCCTAATATGTGCGAATGGCACGAAAAGATAGCAGAAAAACTGTTTCCAAAAATTAACCTATCAATAGTTGCATAGTTGCCAAGCTACAACTACGATCACACCCAATAGGATTATAACCATATAGTCTAACGATTGGAAATATGCGCCCCCGAAATAATTTATATTATTTAAAAATTCCCTTTGAATGTACATAAACGTAAATTTCGGAGCCGACCTTCAAACAAGGGCATCTAATTCATTGTGAAAAATCAAGTAAATATACAGGACTTTCCATTGAAATATAGCGTAATCACGTTAAAGACTCTAGCTCGAGAAAACAAATAGCGGCCACATATGATCATATTTGATGACTTGTGCGACGCAATAAAAGAATAGAATCGCGACGAACTACGCACTCCAGAACGTCGAACAGCTGGTCCCTGCTGATGTGAGCGACCTCGCGGCAGAAGGCGATTGCGCTGCGGTCTATGGCTGGAACGAGATAACGGGACAGCGACTATTTTCGTCCCAGACCATTGTCGACCTTGATATTTTTGTGGTGTACACAAGGAAACGTGGCCACTTATGTCAAGCTCTTTGGCGCCCAATTGATTACCTAGTTAATACAGATGTGTTGAACTCGGCAGTTCACAAGTTCTTGCACAGAAATCGAAAGGAGATGTTTGACTGATAACTAAGGCTAAAGCTTACGTAAACTATAAAACCCGGTACCGGTACCGTATTATTTACATCATAAAATATATCTTTTGCACCAAATTTCCAAGATTAAAATTTGATTGTTCTTTGCCACGAGCCCAACTTGAATATTGTATGAAACGATTTGACCGATGGATGCGAATGTACTTCGCAACAATCTGAAATTGAATTGTCAACTTTGATATTTCATGTGGGCGTGTGGCAGAGAAACTTGAATTACAAATATTTATTAATTAGGCGGCAGAAAAATTTAATATCAGTAGTTGCCCTAAGTGTTTGGCGCGCATCATAAGCAACTGATAGAGCGCAACATATGAAGGAATTTTTAAATTTCGTTGCTATTTAGACAACTATATATTCATTGTAGGCAATTGATATAATTGCGGACACCCGAAAACAATGAACAGAACAGCCGATGTCAAAGCTTTGAAACTAGATATGCTGACTGAATTCTAGACTGGAAACACTCGCACCTTCCAGTTTGCTGAAGTAACCATTGATGCGCAGTTAGTGGAAGGAGAAAGCTTGCTGGAATTTCTGATAACCACATTTGCACGACAGATGCAAAATTGATAGGAGTTGAAGAGTCAAATGTATGATTAATTCGCTTGATTGATGTAGAACTTTGATGTCATGTTCAACAGTGATTTGTGCGAACTCGTGATTAGGATACGTGGTTCAGGATGTAATCGGATGTTTATTCTTTACAGGGTTCTTCGTGGATTATTTACAGTAGGGGACAAGAAGTAAAAATACACTCGACAATTGGAATGCACTGCACATCCGTATTCATTATACCTCACTGTAACTTTTTTAATATTGTTTTTTTTAGGGACAGTTATTACAGTTACAATGTACAGACAATTATTGTAGCCCCGTTCGCTGAAGTGGTTTAGTGCAAAACTGTCTCATTGCAGATAGAATGCTGGGATAACTTTTTATTATTAACTTATTGTGTGAAGAGAGACAGATTGCAAACGAAACACTTCGTTATTTAGAAACTTATTTTACTCTGTTATTGTATGCAAGTAGTGGCGCATGAAATATTCTTTTATCTAACTTCCATCCTTGAAAATGTTTGCTTTATTTTAAACTAGCAGCACGAATTGGCGTTGGACAGGATGGATAATCATCGAGATTGAAAAATCATGTTGGTCCCGTTAACCTGCTTCAATCCACAAACACAATACACACCACAATAAAAGCCAACAACAGTATACTGTAATTAATTGGCATTAGTGAAAGTGTTGTCAGCGTGGCAGTTAGTCCACTAGGTCTTTTGCGGATTCTGAAAATCGCCGAATTTTTACCGCTGGTTGCGGGTCTCGCACACGCAACTCACTGTTTCAATTTAAACTTGGCCTGAACTACCCGGCCACCTTACCGATTTCTATCAGAACATTATACAGTTGGTTGTGGTATGGAACCAACAACCCACTGCTCTAATTCTGGTGCTCTAAACTTCAGTCACTCGGTCACCCTGCTGTGATTAACATGCCATTACCTTGACATAGTGTTAGGATACTTCGATTTACAGGGATGTACACTTCACTCACCAGTCACCACTCGTTACGGTGCTCCCATTAGTAATATGTAGGTAGGCTAGTGCTTTTAGCTCATGACCTGGAAGCTCATGTGTCAGAAAAACCCTATGGTTCTGACCACGTAAAACCTATGTCATGTAAAATCTATGTAGCTATCCCGAAAATATGTTGAATATCCTTCCATAAATGCATGATTTTCAAAATATATGGTTATTATTCTGCCAGCTCTCATACGCTGGGATAATTGCGAGTTATTTTCCAGCTATCAAGTGCTACGGACTACGGAGTACGGACAATTCTGAATTTCTGAACGGAGACTTGATCATGAAGTTGCAAATACAGAGATTCCAGAATTTACGCACGTGACATAAAGATGAAGACGGAAGACATTGAGTGGTGCAACCAAAACCAAGCACTAACATCGTGAGATTCATAGCAAGCGTCTCAACACAACATTGCAAGTATTGATCATAAGTTCATGCTTGAACAACTTATATTAGCCCTGTTAGATTATAAACAATAATTTTTTTACTTATAGAGGTTTGAGTAAAATATATTCCATTTCAAACCCTAGATTTGATACAAACTGTTAACAAATAAATAAAACTAGGGTTTATTCAGTCAATGTTTGCAACAAACATACACATCCAAACTCACTTGACTCTTTAATGACGAAAGAACCTTTGTTTACTGCGACTGCAACGATAGTCAGACATGGAAATAAGTAACGAATAAGATTTCAGCGTCGATATGCTATCCTCCTTAGTATCAGTTACAGTGGCGAAGCTAAACAAAGCAACTGCTGCGACATGCACACTAAACTCGTCTGCCTCTTGACAGGGACACAACCTCACCCACCAATGTCGCTTCTCTCACTAAACTCTAAAGTCTAAACAAGGCTGCCGAAGCGAATGCCGCGAAGTCAATGGCAGACGAAGGCCAGAATAAGGAAGAGGCAGGAACGCAGCAACAACTTGCGCACAGCTGATTGTTCTAATATTCGTTCGGCTTCTGGAGCAAATCCACAGAGCCACATTATGAGCTTGGAAGGGATTCAAGATTTAGGGCACGAGTGCAGGAAGTTTGATTGCACGATATCCCTTAATTAATAAAGGGGAAGGACTGGTCTATCTTGATGCCACGTTCATGCAATACATAGACTTACGTCACATCGTGTATTTTATCCGCAATAGTAAATCATTGCAACAGAAATCGTAGTTTTGTACGAGTTAATGCCGAATTTAAGGCCATGACAAGATGTGGTAAACAAGTAGGGATCAGATGAAGTAAATTTATTAAGCAGCCATACATGTATTTCGTAAAAATATTTCTGAACCACAGAATCTGGAATTAAATCATTCAGACATCTTGTGCGAAGGAAATGCCAGGACACAGCTCAATCCGGATTTGCACCCGAGTGGCGCAGTGGATCGTCGTTCGTGATAACCTTTCAATTATAGGTTTCATCAGTTGTATTTCAAGCTGAATTGATTTAATTACAGGATTTAATAGTAAAGATAATGATAAAATTTACCTATATTGACATTTGAAACCTTACACAAGCCTGCTTTATCTTCCGTTCAAAAAATTACAGATTTCAAAGAAGAATGATCGAAAAGTGGTGTAATAAATAAAACAAAACAGCAATTCCAGGCGAATGAGAACTACAGGCGTTTTTCCGACGAGGTTATGGTTTAAACATAAGCAGGTGTAACCATGGTTGAACTATATATACTACTAGTTCAACCATGAGAGGTGTCAGTGTTGATTTGGCCGTTATAGTGGTCGACGATTCTTAAATTTGCGGAATATTCATAGTTAGTTTCAATTTCGAATCCGCAACTCAATGTTCCAATTTTACGGTACCGCTCAGCCACCCTGCCGATTAGACCAGAACTGTCGCAGGTAGCCGGGATCGAGCCTACAACTCACTGCTCCAATTCTGGTGATCCGAACTGCAACGACTGGGGTCCCTTCGTTCTCACACGACAAACGGCGTCTCTTGGATCAGTTGTTCGCTACATGACACATGGTTGCCTGGCGATGCTTGTCAGTGGCGCGTGGCCGAAACGTACCTAATCCCAACCGAACTGCATCGAATCATTAAGAAAAAGATTAGTCTTAACTATAACTAGAGACAGCTACAATTGTCATGTAAAGGCTTGGTAAATGCACTATGTGAGATTATTCATGGGGCCTCAATAAAGTTATCATGTTAGTGAATAGTGGCCAGCGTACCAGCGTTGAGGTAATACTAAAAGCTAATGACTCCGACGCAGAAGTACCTAGATGAAGTGACGAAGGAATGATCAATGGAATGCCACGGCTAAGTGCATTCCGCGAATTTAACACGGAGTAAAGCAACGGTTTGATAATCCTATGTTAAAAAATTATGCATTAAATTAAAGCTACGCATATCTTCTCTCTGAGTTTCACACAAATTTAAATTAGTAAAAAAATGCCTAAAAAGAGACATAGGTGCTCATTTGAAAGATTAAACTTAAAGCCTCATCTTGGTTTGAAGGTTCTAAATCTAACCCTCTACCGCCAAATCGGGCTTTCTCGCCTTTAAAAAACACCGGTTTTCTAAGAAGTTCACGTTTTCTTTCATTTTTCGAAAAATTCACACGATCAAAAAAAGTCTTAGATTTATTTTTTACATATGTATCCCAAGTTTCAAAGTTATCTGTCTGTAAATAACCGAAATAAAATTTTCAATTTCCAATGGAAATTTCCAATTTCTTGTGGAAAATTTATTTCGACTATTTACAGACGGATGACTGTGAAACTTGGTACACATATGTATGTAAAAAATAAATCTAAGACTTTTTGTTCGTGTAAATTTTTCGACAAAAAATGAAAGAATATGTGAAATTCTTAGAAAAGAGCCAAGAAGGGGTGCTGTAGAAAACTATCTCCTCCTAGGATTTTCAAGCTACACCGTTAAGGCGCATATCATTCGATGCCTAAGGACTATATCTATCGATTGGTCCTTGCTGTTTTTCGAAATTCTAATTTTTGTGGGTGGGGTGGGCATTTTTCGAAAAAAAAAAATTATTCCCCCCTCCACCCTTTTGAATTTCCCTCCCATTTTTTCAGAATATTTTAAAAAATATAACGAAATTGAAAAAAACTTCGACCAAACTCTAGATCTTTTATTTGCGAATCGAATGGTATATCTCTCATTGCTGTAGCTTAAAAACTCTAGGAGGAGATAGGTTTGCAGTGACAATAAGTGTGAATGTTCAGTAGAGCGCGACAAAGTCCCGAGCGCATAGAAATAGGCATTCAAGATGGCATGGATTCTAGACTAGACGTTACTGGAGTTGAAATTCAGTCAAAGATGGTGGGAACGACTGCATGAGCACCATCCCACACGACAGCAGCCAGGTAACTAAAGATCAGCGTCTTCAGACCGTCTATTTATGTGCCGGCCGGTAATTTTCACCTATCTTAAATGTGAAAAAACTCCCCCACCCCTAACCCTTTCGCGATCTGTTGCCAAGGCATAAATCAACGTACAGAGATGATTTAGGTAACGTTGGATGGGTCAGAATGTCAGCTTTAAGGTGAGACTAAAAACCGGAAAAGTGAAATTTGCGATTTTTGACCCAGAAAATCAGGCGGTAAAGGGCTAATCTAATGACTACAAAGCATCTATTACAGAAAATGCGGAGTGCTGAAATAAGGCGAATCAATCACTTTTTAATGTAAATCACCACTCAGCACTCGTCAAGAAAACTTAGCACTCACTAATAGTGCTTGTTGAAGTTGCATTGCCAGAGTACAGTTTAAAAGATTCAACTCGTACATTTCAGAAAATATTACCCAGAGGGTGCGGAGTGGTGAAATAAGGTGATTCAATCACTTATTTAATGTAAATCACAATTCAGCGCTTGACAATAATATTTAGTGTTGATGTACATTGAATAAGTGAATAATTGACCTAATTTTATCGCTCTGCACTCTCTGGGTTGAATATTTTCAGATATATAAGCATTTAACCACTTAAACTAAACACGGTCGTTTTGCTGTGTGTGTAAGCACTATTTGCGAGTGCTGAATGCTATTACTGAGATCAAAGTTATGATTTATATTTACAACTGCTTGATGCTCCTCATTTCCAAACTCAGTACACTCTGGGTTTAACACGAAACAACGTGACAGAGTTGAACGTCAAGTTAGGTTTTGCATTCAAGTGCGCAGGCCAGTTCGCAAGAGAGTTCGCTGAACTGTCGATTCGGTGGAGAGATCATCAGATTTCACTAGAAATAACTAGAGATAAGATCGTTGAATCTCTTTAAGCAGACAACGGCTAGACCTGCTTCAAATTCCTAGATTCAATATCATAAAAAAATGTTCAAATGATGGGGTTCATTTTAAACCAGTGATTTATAGTGATACTCTGTAACAGCGTCAGCTACTCAGCTTCTAAAGTTACGGAATCACCCGTTTCTCCGTCGCATTCGATCGATCTATTGTTCGCCACGTGTTCTGCTCTTCAGCTCCTTCAGCTATCGGTGGTTCGATTCCGTTGCGGGTTCTGCTGTCGGAACTCGGACGGACGTGTTCTTTAGCTCATTAGCTGTTCGGTTGTTAGGGTGCTCGACGCAAATCGTTCGTTGTCCCTGATAATTTGAAGAGACTTGACATCCGATAATTGTTTTTTTTTGTGGGCCTTATTTGTAGCAAATCATATATTTATATGTTCTATTTAGTTTTCCTATTTTTTTGTTTGCTTCTTTTTTTTTATTTTTATTATTTCGTTTGCCGCCCCTGACCCTGAGCGTGTGGCCGTGTGCTGCCAATGCTATGTCAGACGAGATAGGATTGGCTTCTCTGTCTCCTCAGTCTCCTGACTCCTGTCAAAGTGGCGGCTAATTTTGAAGTAGCTACTGTAGATCACGGCGGGATCAACCAGGTGAGAGTTCCTACTTTTGATCTTGTAGAGGGAGACATAGCTCTGATGGAAGTGGAAGATGCAAGTGCTACTTTGGGTTCGGTTGTCTCTGCAGGCAAGAAGCGGGAACGCAATCCCGGCGGCCGGCGCAGTAGCCAACGGCCCAGCAGTGATGATGACATTGAAGTCTTTTGACATCCTAAGAGAGTTGCAAAACGTGTAAGCAGAGAGTTTTTTAGACTCTCCCTCATTGACCCTCAAGTTCATTTTTGAGTCCATTTGGTAACTTGAGTACCTACTTGACCAATGACCAGTAAAGTATCCTGGAGTGGATACCACATACCACTACCAGCATCATCATACATAAGAAATTGGTTTAAATCTTGGGTAAATGAGGAAATTAAAAATGAACTGATTCTAAAAAATCTCTGGTTTGTCACAATGGACTCTGCTCACTCCGACACTCCCTGACCCTCATGTCAGTGAATGATATGATGGAGCTGGACTCTGGAGAGCTCTCCTGGTTTGAAGTTCAACTTTGAACACCACTGGGGGCATGGGTCTACCATTAGGGCCAACTTTTGCAAATATTTTTATGTGCTTCCACGCATGGTGCCAATCCATAGGTTATTCAAAAGAACCTGTTCTTATGTCATTTTGAACCGATCAACACTTCTTTATGGACCGATCGTAAAACACAACCTTCACCGGCAAAAGCTTTCACACTTCTGA